CCCCAAAACCCCAAAACCCCAAAACCCCAAAACCCCAAGTCAGCTTTAACGACTTGAATACGTTTGGAATTTATTTAAAATCTCAAATTAATCAATTACTTTGAGCAAAAGGTTCTTTTGTTGTAGTCTTGATAAGTGCTTTTATGGCTTAATATTCTACTCCTCGCTTTGAAGTATGCTGCTGATCCTACAGATTCTATATGAGTAATTGATTTAAATTTACCATTAAGTTTTCTAGCAACTTTGAATGGATTTTTGTGGATAGAATTCTCTGTTGGGCCTTCTAAACTATTTCTCTGATCAAAATAATGTGAATCTATCTTCTCATTTGATGTATCGCATGGGATGTCAGAAGATCTTAGCTTCTGATTTCATGCGATATTGTTTTCTAAGATTGGGCCTCTTCTTAAACCTTTCTCACTAGCCAGCAATTTCCTTGCCTTGTAGCATGAATAGGGTTTGTTTGATGAATAAGTAGTGGTACAAACAGAATCTTTCTTTTTGGCAATAAACAGTCCTGATTCCTTATTACCTGGAGATGCTTTCAGAAGTCTAAGAGGTAAAATTGTAATTTTACTTGTCTTTTTTACAATCTGGCTTTCTCTGGGTGTAATAATTGCTTATGTCATTCTCAACATGTGAAATATTTTTAGTTGGTTTAAAATTTTTTACTTTGTTATTTACATGGACTAGGAGAAACCTCCAAGGAAATACTAAGTTCATGAGTGATCTCTGACTCTAAGTAATGATTCTCCTTCTCTGCATTTCTATTCTGAGGGTAGCTTAACTTTGGTTTAAAAAGACGCTGTTCATTATAATCACACTCAATCTTTCTTGATGTGAGAGGTCTGTTATTGATCATTCCCAGATCCGTGTCTATATTGCTACTATCTTTCAAGACAGAGCAATTAAAGTTCCTGCCATGATGATCTGTCGTTTTCCTTGAAATCATTACTTTGCTACAAGTTCCGAGAATCTTTTTAAAGCCTTTGTTGATCGAGACGCTTTTAACTCGAATATCTTCGTCAATTCATTCCTGGGTTGACTTGTTCTGGGAATTGCTACCTTTATGAATGATTATTGGTTTAGTTACCTAAAGAGTCATTTTCTTGGAGGCTGTCTGACTGTCTCATTCTTGTTTCTCTGAATTTATTGAATTTTCTGTTCATCTAATTTTGAGAAGAAATAACTTACTTTCTGCTTGCTCTTGGTTAATATATTTTGGTAGTCTTTCTTTTCATTTGGTGATTGTTTTGAACAGATAGTTTTGAGAGGAGTGACTGTTTTTGCTGGACAGTTATTGGATTAGGCTTACCAGGTGTTTCGCATTCGGAAGAGGATCACATGTTTTCTGAAAGATCTTCGGTTCGGAAATTTTCGTGCAGAAGTTCGACTTGTCTAAATACTAAGTCATCTTTGGATTCAAAGGAGGTATTAGTGATAATTCCTGGCCTTTTTGATTTATTTTTCACTTTTGTAATGTACTGAAGAATATTTATCTAACTTTGGGATCACTTTGACTCAGTCTGGTTTTTCCCTCTGCTGTGTTGAGCTCATTTTTGTTGTGTTCTGTAGAGATAAGATGTTACTGCTCTTTTTAGTTGATTCAATTCATTGTGAGTCCTCATCCATAAAATTTGATTGTTTATCGGAGAGGCCAAGAGACTTGTATTGGTGTAATTTGCTAGGTCTTGTTTCTTCTTTAATTTCTTCTTGGTCTAGTTCACTACTATCAGACTTAACATTGAAAAAGCCTTTAAACTCGTCTTTTAGTTTCATGAATCCTTTGTAAAAATCATCAAGAGGAGAGGAGCCTCTTAAAAATTTATGGATTTCTTCATAATCTTTCATGTTTAGTTCGTCATTTGTTAAAATTCTTGGTATGACATGTCTAACATCCCCAACCTTAGAGAGCTGCTTTAATATCTTTATGAGGTTGAATAGTTCAGTATCATGGGGATCATCGTACCATGACTTAATAGGAATACCATTAGACTTGTTGAGGCAATAAACTTGAGGTGAATTGTCAACAATGATGACATCCTTCATTTCTCTTCCTAATTTAGACAAGTCTTTGTAATATCCTCCAGTTGTACAAAGGCAATGGGCACGAGAGAGAACCTTGAAGCCGTACTTCTCCTTGTCAAGGTACTTTACTAGAGGTATAGCATATTGCTTCACAGAGGCAGTGAAAATTATGACTTCATAGATTTTGCACATTTCAGTTAAAAATTGTTGAAGATATGGTCTGATTCGGACAAAGACTTTGCTTCTCTCTCCGTCCTCCCATTTCACGTCAAGAAGTCAGTGGTTCACTAGGGGAGGTGAGTTTGGTATACTGAACGAGCTATGCACGAGTGTTTCATCAAGATCTAGCACAAGGGTCTTTTTACCTGCATCTTTATTCCGTTGATATTTACAAAGGAAACCTTCATCCCTTGCTCCAACGGAAAATGTCTTCCGTACCAAATTATTTTTAGTATCATCCGATCCTGATGGAAGAGTTGAGGAATAGTTATGAAGCTTCCTAGACTCTGAATTAGTAGGGTTTCTCTTAATATTCTTGAGAAACATTGAGTCTTGGACCCAACGGCTAGTCCGAGAATTGCCTTTGTTTTGGAATTTCTTGTCTATTCAGTCGTGAAAGTGTTCCATCTCCTCCACTTGGACTGTATTCTTCCTATATTTGTTTTTCTGAGCACTTTCAGTAAGAGAGCTGTTTCTTTCATTTGTGATGAGGGTGTTCTTGCGGTAGCCTTTCTTCTTATAAGAATAGTACTGACTTTGAGTGTTCTCCATAATGAAATTTATAATTTAAATAGAATAATGGTCAACTTCTCAAGATCTGGGGTTTTGGGGTTTTGGGGTTTTGGGGTTTTGGGG